AGGCACGTAATAGCTAAGACATAAAATACAAACATAAATTAATTTAATAATGAATCATGTTCGCTCAAAATTAATTTAATATATTAAACATCATTCATTAACATTGGATATTTTGCTTTATGATGCAATCTTGATATTTAAAATATTCATAGTTACAGATTACAGAGTATGTCGAAAAACTTCAAAGATACCTATATTAATCTCCTTGCACTAATTTTTATTATTCAAAAATACTATCTACAGGGTGACTCAAACTTTGAATTGACACCATCAGGAAAATGGTAAATAAAAATGCAAACATGGTAGGTATGCTATTTTCCGGGTCCGTTACAGTAGCCTCCCCCCCCCCCCGGTTGTCCAAACTCTTTAATATTTTAGCACTGTATTGCACCCACCTAGCACTACCTAGCACCCAACTTACAGAGCTAGCACCACAACCCCTAGCGAATTACAGAACATTTTAACTGGATTAAAGTAATGGGTCCGTTACAGTAGCCCCCTCCGGTTGTCCAAACTCTTTAATATTTTAGCACTGTATTGCACCCACCTAGCACTACCTAGCGCACCCAACTTACAGAGCTAGCACCACAACCCCTAGCGAATTACAGAACATTTTAACCGGGGTGTCTAATGAGTCCGTTACAGTAGCAAGCAATTTTGATGTTAGAATATTTGTAGTTTCCATGCCCATATTTATTTGTACCGGGCGTTGCCAAATTGTTGAAAAAAAAAACATAATCTTTAGGAGTCTCTCACCGATTCACCGGTTAGGTTAGGTTGAAGTCAGCTGCCAAGAATTTTTTAAAGCCCTCAAGAAAAAAAGGCGTTTTAAAATCAACATCTAAGACCAGTTCGACCGTTTTGTGGGATGTCGTGATGCAATTTTTCGATCCCAACTTTCTTAGTGACAATAAAACGAAAGGTGTTGAGACCCATTTGCAATCAGTTTCCATTGTTTTATATCGAAAATAGAAAAAAAGTTACTTTTCCTTAAACAATTTTCGCAAATAGAATAAATCGTGGCTAGAAGGCATTTTATTAGTTACAGGGAATTCAAGCTGAACTGGTGGACGCTTAAAAGTTTCATTTCAATCGGCTAGTATAAACAAAAAACAAAGACTCGTTAAAGGGTTAATAGAGGACCTTTCAAAAGAAGATTGGGTTTTGCAAGTACTGTGAGCTTTAGGTCTAGTGGGAGTAGGGATGCTGCTGTAATAATTGTTGAAAACTCTGAAACTCTATCGAAAGGCACTGAGTTCAAAAAATCAATGAATGACACCAATAGTCAGTTCGGCAATTGTCCTCAAGACAAAAACATCCACATGATGTTCTAGTTAAATAAAACAAGATGATATGCAAAAGCCTTTTTTAAATTTCTTATAACTTCTAATAAAATTAAATGATTTATTAGTTTTAATATAAGTTTAAAATATTGTCTTAGATCCTTACTATATACAAATTAAAATTGAACATCTATTTTATTTATTTTTTAATAAAATAGTATTTTTTAAAATAAAATATACAGGGTATAACAAGATTACAAAGTAATTAAGAAATAACTGTTAAATAGAGTTTTTTGTAAGTGTTTCATCTGATATCATAATTTTATTTATTTGGCAATAGTTTACAGTACGGTTTTTGTGTCATGTATATTATAACAGTTTTATGCCCATTAGTTTTATTATCTCGTATTACGAGATAATAAAGTCCTAAACATCGCTGATGTTTTGTCCCACTAGAATTGCCATCCGCCCTAGTATCTATCTATATATCTGTAGTGCTAGCTCTGTAAATTGGGTGCTAGGTAGTGCTAGGTGGGTGCAATAGAGTGCTAAAGTTTTAAGGAAAAAAATTCAAACGGGGGGGGGTCTAGCGTTACACTTTAACGGACCCCTATTTTCCCACTATTTTTCATTGCATTTCTATTCTGTGTCCTAGTTCTGTGTATTATAGTATGTCACTAATTTAAGCTATAAGAATTTTTGCTAAAAGCGTGAGTCAGGATTTTCTTTAATTCGGACTTTCCAATATTTGATGCAAGCATTATTTATTTTGACAATAGTTTCTACTTGTATCAATATTATAACTATTTTAATCTTTGATAATTAAGAGTCCATTTCACTAGAGAGAGTACCAAAATAAGCGTTCGGTATTTAACGTTTTATGTAAAACTGGCAAGGTATTTTTACACAAATGAAGAAGGAAATTAAAGATAAAGGATTATACTATATTCATATTGTAGCACATTCTTAGACAACTTTATTTTTAAGATTTTGATGGTCAAACATCAACAAAATATTTCTTATGTTTGGACTAAATTTTCTCGAAAATTAAGACACAATTTAAAATTCCGTTACAATACGGAAATATACTGAAGTTTTGTGATTACAGTGATATATAATTTATATGGTTTTGTAACAAACTGATCGCTTTTTTATGGCAAATTCTGAAGCTCTACAAACTTTAATCAAGCCTTAATCAAAGCACGTGTGTATGGAATTTTAGGTCTGGCTTAACATAACAGGATCGGGCTAAGCCTTAGGCAGATTTCTGAAATATAATATACAGGGTGTCTCAGTTTTTAATCGGAAAAATTTAATAGACGACAGAACTTGCAAAAATATCATTTTGCAAGTTCTATCGTCTATTAAATTTTCCCGATTAAAATCTGAGACACCCTGTATATTTCCTTCGGCCTTTACCCGACCCCTGAGAGCAACCCGAACAGTACAGCGTAATAGACTCTTAAATATTGTCAGTACTCCAAATTGCTGGAAAATGCAGCTAATTGCTGTTTTAACAGCTGCTTGTAAACCTTAAAGTGCAAACATATAAAAACGAATTCTCCTTAAACACAATTTTGTAGAAAAGTAGAATTAATAATGTAGGAATGGGAATACCTATAAAAATAAAAATTCAAAGAATCAGAAAGTCAGTTTATCAATCTTGATAAATTTAGTAATAGTTGGGACATCGCATTTATAAACCAAGTTAAAAATACCTGTAACTCGTTATTAAAAATAAGATTAATGATACTGTTAACAGGTGAAATAAAAAAATCTGTTGAGTTGAAGAAAACTGTAATCTATTTAGTTCTCGCTAATTATTATTTATTAGCCTACGAAAAATTTAGCTAATATTTTATCCGCCATTTCGTAAAAGCAATATGGGAAATCCAAATTTTTAAGGAAAGCTTCATGTCTAAGATTATCTTCAGTTATTTGTTTGGCTGTAAGAGTGTTAGTAGGTACTCTTAAATCGGGATAGTTTTCGAGCTTCCGCGATGCCAGATTGTAAATAAATCTTGTAAAATGTAAATAAAAACACTGGCCCATGGTTATACTCTCACATTAATTTTGCATTTCAAAGAAAGGTTTACTAAATTTTTGAGAATACTATTTTAATCTGTATGGTTAGAGTATTTAAATTTTTGAATAACGTAATTCTATTTTTAGTTCTTATATTTAAATTTAGAAAATTTAAATTAATTTAGGATCTTTTAATTCCTATTTAATAATAACTATTTACTTATTACTTAATACCAAAAATATCTCTAAAATCTATCCACATTCTCAATATACTGATGATCGAAAAAAAAACGGCGTCCAGTTGGCTTAGAAATGACGATCAATGACATTTACCATACAATTTTACATATAGAATGACAGCGATCTTCATTTCATAGCCATCGCCGACGCCGTTTTTTTTCGATCATTTTGTATATTTTTGATATACATCAGCTTAACTCACATTTAAAGTAAGATTAATTTAATATACTTAATTGCCCAGGTGCAGGCTATTTTTTTAGATAAAGAAATATGTAAAATCATTTTTTTAAATAACTTTGTGGTAGGTATTATAATTATTGATAAATCGGTTGTTTTGTATTATTTAGGGATACGTCAAATTTATTTTAAGATCTTACACATTAAATTTTCTTACAAAAAAAAATCAAGAACCAGGTAGATAATGCTTAATTAGAAGGAACAAATACCTAGCAATATAGGAAATTAAAAGTAGGTTTCAAAAAGGAATATGAGTAAAATTATTTGAGTGAATAAAGACTTGAAAAAAATACTTCAAAATCATTGACCTAAGTACATTCATGATTCAGCTGATGTCCAATAAAAAGTAAAGTAACTTAATTAAGTAGAGGAAGGAAATAATCATATATCATACTTAGGTATGTGAATTGCAGTATTTTTTAAGACTATTGCAGGAGAGAAAATGCTTCGAATAATGTATTTATGTCTTCACATACCAATTTTAAAAAACAGCAGTGTATTGTTGAGTTTAAATTTACTAATATCCTTATTATACAATATACACATTCAGCCCCAGCATTCAGTGATTAAAGAATAAATAATAATAAATTAATAAGATATATTTTAGAAACATATTTGGAACCCGAGTTAGAACCATATTAGACTATGGTAATTTCGAGGGTAATTTATATAAAACGCTTTTAAGTTTCTTTCCCAAACAAAGAACAGTTAGTTATAAATCATTTGTCATGAAAAAATTCACGTGTCCTTATCAAAATAAAGCAAATATTTGCACTTATTAATGAGTCATAATTGCCTAATTTATCACAGATTTTTAAAACAATTATGAATATTATTCTTTTAATAGTGAAGTATATTTGAAATAATTTCATACTGAAAAACAATTCTGTAACAATAGGAAACATTTTAAAGGTGCTAAATACCTAATTGTTAACAAGAGATAAAAGTAGTTCATATGGATTTCCCCCCAGTTTTACAGAAAATCTGCAATGTTAGCTAAACGTCAATATACAAAGGAAGTTAATTTGACTGACTTTATAGGCAGTGTCTGTGAAACGAATATAAATGAACTTAATCAGATCATATCAGTCATGAAGTGTTAATTAACCCGAGACAAGTTTATTTTAATCATATCCTTTAGTATGATATTATTGGAATTATATACATAAAACTATACACAAATTGGACAAATGTAAATAATCATATCATATTTACCAACTGAAATTCTCTTCTCCTCTCGAAGGCTCTACGAATTCCAGAGTCTTTCCACAAACTTGATAATAAAGGAGCATATTGCATAAACTGTCTAGAATCTAGCACCAAACTGTTATTAAACTTTAACTGTAAAAGTTGATTTCCCAGGTTAATATTGTTGTTTTCCTGCCAGGGAATGTTGAGCTTGTCTCTGGCATCTACTAATACTTGCATTCCCTTCAACACATTTTGGTATATCACTTGTTGGTACTCTCTAACTTGTTGGTTTTCAAATTTAATCCCATGAATAATCCTCATTTGTTTAAGAAACGTAGATTTTCCACTCTCTCCCGCTCCCAGTAGTAACAGCTTCACTTGTCTTTTGAGGGCTTGTTTGTCTTTCTCGATGATCTTGTCGATTTCCTGGCTTTTGTAGCGCTGTTCTATTTCTTCGGGACTAAACTTAAAACGCAAACAACACGGGCACGACCACCTTAAAGTGGACATTTTCAATTAAACTACTAAAAAAACTTTTAAAAACTACATAGCTGTCACGAGAACCACACAGAAACTGACATATCTTTTATCGTACGCGTGCGCGCGATACAACTGTCAAGCGTCATGCGCTAGCCAGGCCCGTACTTAATTTCTTTAGTTTATTTCTATTTCAAATAATTAATTTTATTCGAGAACAGTTTAATTTTTTATACACTTATTTATTTATTTACCTTTCTTCTTATGTCAATACCTAACCGTAATAAATGTCATTTTATGGCAATTGTCAAAATTGAATGTTGAAAATTGATAGAATTTTGATAAATATGATTACAGAAATATCTACCACAATGGAAGAAGTTTACACGAATCTAAAAAACATAGAGCTGTTTGATGTTAATACACCTGAAGATTTGTACAAATTATTTTTCTTTTGCCACATATTCTCTTGGATAGTTGTTATGTGGAAACTGCGAAATTAATGTTATACGCTGCGAAATTAAATACTTTGTTATGACTTGTTATAATTTGGTAAATTTGCATATGTTAATTACAAATGAATGGAAGCATTTGTTTTTTAAAAGTAAAATAAAGTAAGTAAAATAAAGAAATTTCATTCTATTACGAAAAAATACGCCTTCCTGCTCTGCTTCCTATATTTTAAAACGGGTAATTTTAGTTGCCTATATAGGCCTATATTATAGGATCATAAAAATGGGCGTCGGGGTTGGTTTGGAATCGCTGATAAAATAACATCAGCGATTCCAAACCAACCCCGACGCCCATTTTTATGATCCTATAATATAGCCTAAATGAAAAATATACGAAATAATACACATGTACTGATTTCTTTCGAAAATCGACAACTATGAAACTATGATCTCTTCCCGGACACAAACGGTACACTGTGAGACAGGAAATTGTAGAGAGAAACAAGCTCTTTAACATAGGAAACAACATTTTAATGAACAGTGCTTTCCGTAAAATCAATAAAATGAAAAATATACGAAATAATATACATGTACTGATTTCTTTCGAAAATCGACAACTATGAAACTATGAACCCTTCCCGGACACAAACGGTTAATTGTGAGACAGGAAATTGTAGAGAGAAATAAGCCTTATAACATAGGATACAACATTTTAATGAACAGTGCTTTCCGTAAAATCAATAAAATGAAAAATATACGAAATAATATACATGTACTGATTTCTTTCGAAAATCGACAACTATGAAATTATGAACCCTTCCCGGACACAAACGGTACACTGTGAGACAGGAAATTGTAGAGAGAAACAAGCCCTATAACATATAGGATACAACATTTTAATGAACAGTGCTTTCCATAAAATCAATATAATAAAAATATACGAAATAATATACATGTACTGATTACTTTCGAAAATCGACAACTATGAAACTATGATCCCTTCCCGGACACAAACGGTACATTGTGAGACAGGAAATTGTAGAGAGAAACAAGCCCTATAATATATAGGATACAACATTTTAATGAACAGTGCTTTCCATAAAATCAATAAAATGAATAATATACATGTACTGATTTCTTTCGAAAATCGACACCTATGAAACTATGATCCCTTTCCGGACACAAACGGTACATTGTGAGACAGGAAATTGTAGAGAGAAACAAGCCCTATAACATATAGGATATAACATTTTAATGAACAGTGCTTTCCATAAAATCAATATAATAAAAATATACGAAATAATATACATGTACTGATTTCTTTAGAAAACCGACAACTATGAACCCTTCCCGGACACAAACGGTACATTGTGAGACAGGAAATTGTAGAGAGAAACAAGCCCTTTAACATAGGAAACAACATTTTAATGAACAGTGCTTTCCATAAAATCAATAAAATGAATAATATACGAAATAATATACATGTACTGATTTCTTTCGAAAATCGACAACTATGAAACTATGATCCCTTCCCGGACACAAACGGTACATTGTGAGACAGGAAATTATAGAAAGTTGAGAATGAAATTTGGTATAAAATAAAATTGTTACAAAAAGTTAATAATACAAATTAAAACAGAATATCCAAACCAATCCAAGTAGATTTTTTCCACAGTTGGAATGACGATCGATGACATTCCTCACATGATTTTACATAGGTATATAAATGACAGGGATTTGCATTTCAAAGCCATCGACGCCGATGAATAGGCAAAATTCGGTATAAAAATTCAGAAAAAAAACAAATAATGTATATACCTATTTATTATAAAAATGAAAATATAACAAACATTTTATAATGAATATTAAGTATTATAATTTGATCAATTACCTCATACAATAATACAATATCATAATCATTTTAATATGCATACTTAAAACTTAAAATATAGAGATACAAATATGGACGGATAACAGCAGATCCATAAGTTACATTTTATCACGTCACAAACTTAATTAATTTATTTCTAAAATCTCACAAATAAAAACGATATACTCGTATTAAAAATAAAGATAATCCTTACCCTAAAAATGCCGATTGGTCACAATTTTACATAATTAAGTGTCATCGATCGGCATTTCTAAGATAACTAGCCGCTGTTTTTTTTTCGATCGCGGGGTTCTTAAGTAAAATATGATGAACAGGTTTATGAAAGCGTCCTTTTTTATGGTCCCAGAAAAATAATTATAGAAAATTACATAAGAATATTTAACTGTCAAAATCACTGTCCAGTTTTGATCACACAGTTATTCACAGATTCGAACACGTTATTATTCGGCATGATCGAAAAAAATAGCGTCCAGTTGGCTTAGAAATGACATTCTATTAACATTCCCCATATAATTTTACAGCAATCTTCAATTCCAAGCTATCTGTGACGCCGTTTTTTTCGATAGTTTGGTAATATAAATATTATAATAAATTTATATATTTGTTGTCCTCTGCCTTGTAAGACTATTTGGCAAAATTATAAAAAAAAGAAGTGTTGTTCAAATGAGTATTAATTATTAAAATATTTTTTTCTTGCCAAAAATATAAATGAAAACGCATCCTATTACAATTAATACCGTATGATCGAGAAAAAAAGGCGTCAGCGATGGCTATGAAATGAAGATCGCTGTCAATTTATATGGGAAATGTCATCCATCGTCATTTCCCAGCCAACTGGACGCAGTTTTTTTTTTCGATCATACGATATTATAGCATATTAACCACAACTTTTCTAGACAATATATATACGATTTTTAATTTAATATGGTAAAATAATCAATAAAATTACTACCTCAAAAAATATAAAAAAAATACACACCAAAGATATATAGAACAATATGATTAAAAAAAAAACCGACATTAAATTACCTTTGAAAAAACAACCAATTACATTTTATATGTAAAATTAGATGGCAACATCATATTCAAGGTAACATATTGCCACTTTCTACACAATATCTTGTAAAATATTATATATGCAGAGGTTTTAATCCACACATATTATGTAGATATTTTCAATATTATATTTATTGCTAAAATTTATTGTATTTAATTTTTATATATAAAATGTATTAAACAGAGCAATATAAACTCCTCATTTTCATATATACAATAAAAATTCTAGATCATTTTCCATACAAATATATAGGTACCTACTTGAAAATCAGTCATAATAAGAATATTATTATTTTATTTAATATATAATTCAAGTAAAATAAGTGGAATGTGGCTTAAGTAAAATAAATCAGTGCACTTAAAGTTGACTTAATAAAAAAGAAAATTAAAAAATGTTAGCTAAGAAAGAAGTAATCAAAACGATAAATGATATGGTTGTTCCTTTTATACTGTTGTTTCGCAAAAATCCAAATCCAAAATCAAATTGGATGATGTGAGCTTCAGGATCTAACCACGGGTTGGTACCATCATCAAAGTACATTGGGCATTGATCTCCTACAAAAAAATATGAAGCAAAATTAGATCGAGGGGAGTAAAAAACATACGTGTGTAAAAGTAGTTGGTAAAAAACTAAGTTCAAAAATCGGTAAGCTTTCTTTAAAAACGCCCTTAACTGTTAATGACCGTTTTGACAAAGATGCTTTCATTTATTTAGTGATATTTTTGATAATCTGAATTTTTTAATAGGTGCAGAAATCGAAATGTAGACAGAAACAATAGAAAATGTATGTTTAGAAACCAGAAAAATGCCATTCTTCTTCTTCTTTTTATTAAAATTTTTATGTTTTTGACTTCTCCTACATTTTTACGTGTATCTTACCCCAAAAGGTAAAAAGGCAAAAGAATAAATGAAAATAAATGGAGCTTAACAAACAAAACGTAATATTATTTACAAACATGATTTACAACTGATATGACATTTTCAAATTAAAATTTTAAAGTTGGTTGATCAAAAAGTTATTATCAAGGAGGCCCTGACTTTGACATTTATAAAATTATCATGCACAAAACATCCTCTTTTAGAACTTTTTCTTTAATAACCATAACCGGGAGTAAAAGACTAACCGCCCGAACAAACACTAGAGGCGCCACTGGTCATCAAATGGTGCTTAGACAAGGAAAGAGAGGGGACAGGTAACACTGCAGCTGAAAGTGAGGCAAGTTGTCACCACGCGAAATTCTCCAATGACGTAGCATCAGAAATTAGCTTGTACCTAGACGGTACAAAATATTTATTAAAACGTAAACTAATATATCGTTCATTTTTGAGTAATGTATATACAATTTTGTATTTTATAGTCTCACCTTTATAATATTAGAATATCTAAGTCGATAATGCAAAATTTATTTAACAGTCACAGTGGACTGATTATCAAGACAATTATTTATTTATTAACTTGTGTATAATTTATAATTAAATAAAAAATAATGTAATAACATATGTTTTAAACGTGTATATACATAATATATACTGTATGATCGAAAAAAACGGCGTCTTGTTTGTTTGGAAATGACAATTTCACAAATGAATATCAAAAATTACATTATTCATTGAATCCGTAAGTAAGTGTGAAGGGAATTGACTAGATTCATTATTAAAAAGTATAATCGAAAAAAAAACGACGTCCAGTTGGCTTGTAAATTACGATCGATGATATTCCCCATATAATTCTATATATAAAATGACAAAAACTATACAAAACGACATCGAAAAAAGATGGCGTCAGCGATGGCTATGAAATGAAGATCGCTGTCATTTTATATGTAAAATTATATGGGGAATGTCGTCGATCGTCATTTACAAGCCAACTGGACGTCGTTTTTTTCGACTATACGATATAATAATGAATCTAGCCATTCCCCTTCACACTTGCGTACGGATTCAATGAATAATGTAATTTTTAATACTTGTTACCTTCAATCATAAGAATATCCTAATTTTCCATAAAAAAATAAACAATTCTAGAAGATTTGTGTTATTTTATTTATTTTGAAATTTTTATTAATTACTCACTGAAACTATTATTATACACCTAAATTAGCAAATTTTTTGAAAGAATATTTAAAACAATATATGTAGTAACAAGGAGCCCACCAGAAGTTTGTCCACCCCCAGCAAATCTTGGCAGGTAAATTTATGTTTTATACAACAACTATACATATAGATTTTTTATCACTAGAATTTTTTTTTTTTATAGTTTAGAATTACTTTACATATTTGATAACAATACTTTATACATTTTTTTACATGTAAAACATATAAAAAAATGTTTATTGCAGAAATTGTATTTCTCTGATTATAATTCCCTACGCCATTGGAGAAATCCATGCTGAGTAGCATTATTTATAGTTTCAAACATTAATTATAATACAGGATATTGAAAATGCTACTTGGAATTATTAAAAATAGTTTGGTTTGGATGTGGTACAAAACATATTAAAAGCATTTTACATATTTTTACTGCTACAATGAAAAAATGTACATTTTATGACCACATAACAAAAGTTGTGTATCGATTTTTACCTGCGAAATGTAATCTTGATAAAAAAAAGTTAGTTATTGACAGAAATAGTTAAAATCATGTTAAATATTAAAATACACAAGTTATAATTAGATATTTTATGTTATTGCAAAAACAAAACCATAATGATACAGCGTAATGTAGATATGCAGGATGCATGTCCAAAACAAAAAAGTGCTGTTATATTTTTTAGTTTTCCATGTCAGCCGCGGAAGTTTCAGTGATTTTAGTGTTGTCGGATATTTTTATCTGTGAAATAGAAATATTGCGTTTTGCGTTTGGATCGCAAAAGCGAAAGTAGAAGTTTTATTGAAATGTAAGTAAGCGTTTGCCCATTTTATATTATACTTTTTCCATACCTACGACAAATATAGATATATTGAAATTTTATAATTCGTTTTATTTAAAAAATGTTAGAAAACAAGCCTGTAATCCTGTAATTGACATAATTGTTATGTAATATATTCCATTTAAATGTAATATATGACTTTACAATTAAAAAAATGTAAATTTAAAAAATATATTAAAAATATGTATATACAGGCAATAATTGAATTTTTTAGTATGCGAACAAACACGGGAGGCGCTTTATTATTTACTTTCATTTCTTAACATGACAGAGGAAGTTCTAAAGGGGGATGTTTTGTGTTATCATGTAATTTTCTATAAAATATGTTTTTACGTCTTCATACAAAAGACATGTGATCATACTTTTCAAATGAACTGTATTTCTAGCAAAATTTAATTGAAGATATCTGTTAAAGTCGATAAACAAGTTGATATATTTTTTTATTAAGATCAGTTACAAATTTTAAAGTACGAAATACAAAATGGGATTAAAATATTCTTTTTCATTAAATTTTGGTAGTATTCCTGTGAGAAATGTAGTAGTCTATGAGAGAGTCTGTGAGAAAATGTAGCCTAAATGTTAAAAAAAAAACACTTACTCTCTCTTTCATATTCCTCCATCTCGAGGGCTACAGTAGCTCCTTCAGTATAATTCCAAGATGTTACAGTTTGTTTCAAATCACAAAATGGCCCAATTGCTGAAAATGTAAAAAAATATTATACAGGGTGTTCTAGAAAGTTAGCAACAAATAAGAAATGTTTATACTAATTAAAGAAAATCCATTTGTTGCAAACTTCTTGACACACTACAACATTTTAAGGCGTTTTAGTTGTTTGTAAAAGTAATGTATACTAGCATTAGTTATATTTATGTATGTTTTTTTTGTAAGTTTACCTTGTGACATTAAAACTCTGTTTAGATCAGCTCTTTGGTACACCCAACAACGATATTTTGAAAATGGGTCTAATTCATCATACGTTATTAGATAAGACTTTAGATTCTCTTTCCAGAATCCAATGCATTTCATTTTGTAATCAGGATCACCTAAAAATATCATATTGTATGAAATAAAAAAAAATCTACATAATATATAAAATGCTAATGTATATCTGTGTCGTCTCTACTGAAGTAACGACTTGTTCTAGAAGAGTAGTAGAGTTGCTTTTTTAATCTAAGGGCTCTAACTCACTGACGACCAGGTAGCAACGACCTGGCCGTCGGCGTCGCGTCGGCTGGCCGGATGCATTGCGTTTATAGCTGCGGCCAGATGAACGACCAGTTTCAACAGAGTTGTCAGATCTAACGATTTTTTACGTCTTACCAATCAGAAAATATTATTTCAGAAATGTTAAAATATCCGAGTTAACTAAAAAGCGAAGTTGCTATTCATGAGCTTATTAAATGTTCTAATATTAAATAATGCATTTAAAATATTCTTGGATTTTTCGTTAATATATACTGGTGTTGTAAATGGAGTAAGTAAAATCTCCAACCCCGACTAAGTAAAATTCGTTAATAAATACTGGTGTGATAAATGGAGCAAGTAAAATCTCCAACCCCATTATTTCCATGTTTTTCAAATCCGCGATGCCTATGAAGTAAGTAAAATCTCCAACCCCGACTAAGTAAAATTCGTTAATAAATACTGGTGTGGTAAATGGAGCAAGTAAAATCTTCAATCCCGTGATTTCCATGTTTTTCAAATCCGCCTGGTTTTTCAAATCTGCCTGCTATTTCATCAGTCGTTTCATAACAGAATATTCTACATCCTACGTCTATGTAATTTAATATGTGTAGAGTGAGACATATGTAACTCGGGAGATTTTCAGCATTATATCAATAAAGGACAAAAACAGTGTTGTTCCTAAAGGTGCGTCCAGGCTTGAGAATTTTAGCCCGAACGAACCGAGCGCGCACGAACAAACAGAACAAATAGGTCGAACAAAAAGCATTGCGTACGCGCGACCGACAAAAAGGGAGATATTCTGTTTCTTTTATCTACAGATATGGACTTCTACTGATGGCTCTTGTCGACTTTAGAAGTAAAACATATCAGGGCTATCGTAAAAAAAGGTCGTCAGACACTGGCTCTAAATATAAGCAAGTAGAAAGTTTAGCTTCCAGTTATTTCAATGTTTACAATATAAATTCCCCTTTTTTATTGTTACTGAGAATCTACAACAGTAATTATTTCTATTGTTAATTGTTTAAGTTACTTTTTTTTTAAAAAAATAATGTACCTAGTAGAAATATAGTCTAGTGTACTATAGGTCTAGTGAACCCTGTTTGAAAAACGTTAAAATAAATATAATATTTATAAAACAGTTGTCCTCCTTGTACATGACTACAATACAACTAAAAAACTAATTTAATAGAAAAAAAAGTGGTTGTAGAAAAACTTTAAATATGATTTTAACATCGAAACTCGAAGGTATAATAACAGGTATCATACCAATTATAAATAGAGTAGGTATGTCATATAAAAATGTTTTGAATTTTTACTAGAATCGACCCTTGATAAAAAAAAAGGGACTAGATTTAAGTTTCCCTTTGATCCAGTCTGTATACTATTTCTTTGGATTTTCTGCACATGTGCAAAAACTACACTAAAAACTATATCATATAGAAAATAAAATATTGTGCGTTGAATTTGAGGGATTTCATCTGAAAAATTATTAATTTGGAAGAAAACCGGCAACAAGCGGCAGAAAATAATATTTTAGTACAGTCCTTGTACAGTCTACTGGTCGCAACGACCAACGGACGGCCAGGACGCCGTATCATTTGATTTAATGGTTTTAGAGGTACCAACGGCCTGGCCGGTGCGACCTGGTCGTCAGTGTGTTCGAGCCCTAATTGGCTCTTCTAAAAACTGTCCTCGCCGGATTTTTTGTTTTTCATTTAATAAAAAAAAAAATCCTGACGTCGCCTCGTGGCGGATGCGCCAGGCTTCAACTAGTTAAATCATAAAAAAATAATCACGTTAAAAAAATACTAGAAGAAAATGATATTAGGTATATTATACCGGGTGCGTCTCAACAGTGGCTCGCCACTACACCTTTTTTATTTTTTCACATAAAAAAAACGAGATCTGGTATGTTAGTGTATGACATAAATTAGGAGTGATTGACGTATTCAATTGTTGTCGGTCGTTTTTTTTTTGATTTTCAAATGTCACCTTCGGTATTTTTTTTACTTTATTCAATAGAAAATGACACTCTGAATAGAATGACATATCATATGTCAACTTTTAACATTCTCACTTAAAAAAGTTAAAAGCACTAATTTTTAATGAAGGAGCCTTGGAAAAATAAATTTGATCGTCTAATATTTTAAGTGTCTTGTCCTTGCATCGTACTTTCAATCATATAAAAAAATAAAGGTCATAGGGGTGGGCCACACCAAACCAAATGCCTTGATTATTAGAATTATTAGTTGATAAAATAAATATAGAAAATAAAAATACGATTGTAGAATAAAATATATTTGGTCCTAAACTTATTTCTTATATTTATTTACTTACTGTAAATGTCTACTGGTTTTCCTCTATGATCTACTGACAGACAATAATTTTCATCTATAGCTATCTCTTTCTGTTCATCATCACAAACTGAAAAGTCAGATATGTTCTGCTTACAATAGATATTCGGTCTTGGACTCAAAGTAACACCACCCAAAATTCTGAAAATCGAGAATTCAAATAGAATTATTGAGCTCACATAAGATAATCTCCAAATAGAGATGATTTTACCTGGTTTCAAATGGCACATCTCCTTTTTGAGTAAAATTAAATTTACCAGCCACTGGGCATTTGATCGGTGCTGGATTTCTCTTTAAAAACAAATCGTATCTCCACTTAATTTTATTTTGAAACTGAACCCAAGAACAGACCGTACTGAAGTCATCCTTAATAACAGCTATACCCTTACGGTATCTGATAATGTTGTGATGCTGAGGTACAAAATCAAAGCATATGTAATCCTTCTGACTAAATAATTAAGTTGGCTATTAATAAAAAAGTTATTATAATATTAGTATATTATTTTACCATCCATCCACTGTTAACCTTGCCATCATTATCCTTGTATCTCTCTGCTCTTTACACACGTAGATTGTTCTTCTGTATCTACCTTCATCAGGATAGTAAGTTTCAACTATGTGGGTTTCATTGATGAACACATCAGCATCAATATTAGCAGTGTTGATCCACTCTCCTAAAAGTATAATACAAAATATAGCTAATGATAAAACAGAGGGTTTTATAAATAAAACTACCTGAAAAATTTTGTGGCAAATGACAACCAGGTTCTACTACTTCTGCCTTTACTAAAATGATAAATAATGCATATTAGACAAATCAAAAATACATAATTTTATAAAATAAAGTAAACTCCTGTATACCTGGTTTTATATGTAACCTTTCTGGACTTTTCTCCACAGTTTTTAATGTATTACATTCTGCAGTGATCGAAACACCAATATATAAATCATCATCTCTGTTTTTTAAGAAGCATCTATATTTTTCATCTTTTCTTGATTCCTTTGTATTTGCCACCGCAAAATAGTGGTTTTTCCCCACAAACCAGTCACCCAAACAACTGTATTCAACAACTTAAAAATATAACAACTTAGTTTCAATAATATGTAAATTATTTCATATTATTACCTCCATCAAATGTTCCCAACATTCCTTCGCATTTTTTGTAAGTAATATTAAACTTCTGATTTGTAATCAAAAACTGAGAACCTGGCGTTTGACATGATCTAATATGCGCATCTGGATTTCTACATTCACCTAAAAAATAATATTGTTAATATAAACTCTAAAGTAACTAAATCAATATTAACAAAATATTTTCTAAATATTCAACTAACCTGTAAATTTAAACCTATTTTGATAGGCAAAATTCCACACTCCCTCTAATGAAGACCTACAATTGACAGGAACGTAATTTTCAGAAAATAATGTTGCTAGCTGTAAATGAGGATCTAAACTACTACAAACATTTTCTACAGTAGCCCTATCCTCTGGTACATTAATGCATGAACCTAAAACAGAAATGAAGGTTTGTATTAAAAAAATAAAACAAAACAGATAAAAAATACACACTTTCGATTTTCTCTAACACATTGACTGTTCTAACTAGTATTTTTACGCAGCGAAAACAGTTATCTTCAGATTTATGAAACACCATAGTATAATTTACGTGATAGTCATCACGTATATCGTAACAGGTGCCCCTATTCGTCATAGTAGTTGGATCAAGTTCGGTTAAAGTGTTTCTTCCATTTTCCCATGAAAACCATGCACCTTGTATTTTGGGCGGAATTGTGCAATTAAATGCTAGAGATTCAGTTACTGCAATTAAATTAACATATAGGTGAATAATATAATAATTCAAGTATAATATTTACTAAAAGTTGATATGAAATATAACCTCAATATACTTACAGAGATTTAATCCTAGAAATATCAACAATAGCGACATTTTAAATAAATTTAATTAAAAAATCACAACCGAGTTCGCTACATAAATAAATAATTATATTATAACAAAACTAACAAAGGGGTATCGAAATGTTATTAAACAATTCGAAAAAACTTGAAATCCAAAAAAAAAACGTGAGTCACCAACCAACCACAGATCGCAGTTGTCCACAAAACATCAAAAAAAAAAAAAAAAAAGAGCTTTTTTTTTTTTTTTACATCATTTTTTTAACATTACCTTGTAGCTTTTTATTAAAAATATTGAAGATTGATTTTACATATAGAACTTTGATCATACAAAATAATATATATTACAATATGAAAATTTTTAGTTAACCAGATATACACAACTAATTGTACCAAATTTATTCTTCTACGGATCTTATAATGTTTATTAAATGTTTATGTCAATCTATATATGTTTATTAAATGTTTATTAAATGTTATGGTTATCTCTAAGACGCCTTATCTAGTCACTGCTCTGGGCTACCTAGACAAATACTCTAACAAAATATACAAAAATGACAGGGCACCATGCTACGAAATGCAACTACAACATCAGATAAAAATGATAAAGGTGATCGATCTGAATCTGGAAAAAAGCCAAGTTTCTAACAAAAACTTATTCTACGAAATCACCGAAAACATTAGATCCAACCACACGTTCATATATACAGATGCCTCCAAGGGTAAAAACAACGCGGGCTACGGAGTCTATTGCAACAATCCCCCTATCAACTATGCAGAAAGACTACCAGAGGAAGTAACAATTTGCACAGCGGAAATAGTTGCAATTAACAAGGCAATTATTATTTCTCTGTGCAAAGAGCTAAGAAATGTTGTAATCCTCTCAGACTCTAAAAGCGCCATTGACAAGATTCGATATCCCGGGGTAAACACTTCAAATGACTCGATCACACTATCAACCAAAAAACTCCTATTAGAAGCAAACAATAGCGGAACGAAAATACACCTAACGTGGATACCAAGTCACACAGATATAAGTGGAAACGAAGCTGCAGATAAACTCGCAAATATTGGAAGGTCACTCAATGTACCCAAGAACATCAAAATCGACAAGGCAGATATACTAGCAGTTATTAAACACAAACTTACAGAAGAATTTTCCCAAAAATGGAAAACAACAGCCACCAACAAGGGGGGATGGTACTCAGAAATCGTTAAAAAATTTCCCAAAACCAGATGGTTTGACAATTTAAAATACGCCAGAAGAAAGGACATAACCAACATCATACGACTTAAAACAGGACACTGTCGCACAAAGGTCCATCTGAATAGAATAGGAATAATTGACAGCCCACTTTGCGAGTGTGGAAAAATAGAAAATATAAACCATATATTCTTGGCATGCCCCCTGAGAACCTATCCTCAAACAGATCTATACACAAAACTAGTAAAAGACGGCCACACTACACCATTCAGTATGCAGACAGTACTGTACAACGCCAAGCTAAAAACCATTAATCTCATCAACGCTTTTATAGACAAAAACAAACTAGAATTATAACTTCAACTAATACATCCTTTTCTGTTTATTTAGGCTTGACACCACAACACCAATCCTCATCCATCCGATCCGCACCATTTTGTGTAATGCTCCTCTGCGGGCGGGAGAGAGAAGAGTCTAGACCTTTGTTTGTGTTGTCCAGATACTAACAGTCACGATTTAACCAATGCAAAACAAGCACACACCTCAGATATCCTTACTTAAAATGTAATTAGATTAATTTTAGGAACTAAAATCACTGATTGCAGCATGACGAAAAGTCAGACGGCCTGCAATCAAAACTAATGCGCTGGCAAATTGCACCTTCATAGGAAGCAGAGCCATAGAGCTGCCACAGTGAGGGAGGCAGCTCATCATTACCATACCATACCATACCATCTCTAACACTATGCGGAAAACAGTCCGAAGAAGGTCAAGGTCGTGTTACCTCGTCTAACTTTGTCTCGTCTCGGCTTATCTCCGCTTGTCTTGACCTACTTTCATACCTTAAAAACGCCTAGAAACTACTCTTACTACTTTTTGTTTATACTCTATCCAATAATCATACCAGTAAACTACTAATATTTTATATTTGACAACCTTACTAAAAACCTAAATCCTACGATGGGAAACCAGGTCAAAGGGATGCGTGGCTAGATAGAAGACTAGTCTCTACTGGTCTCAACCTTGAGGCCCAAGGGGGCAATCCATTGTATACTCGTCTCTCTTACATCTACGGGGCTCTGTAGAAATGAACCGACTAACCCAATGCATATATTGCGGTGTATCACCAGCTTTACCAGAACTTCAATGTGAAGACATTAGCAGAAAGGCCCGGCCACTAGGCTGAGTCCGACGGTCGGGCCTTTCCGTGTATGGGTAGCTATTGAGTTGGAGAGTCATCAACTCGAGGGAGAAGCCATGCCCTCAGGCCCTCAGAACAGGAATTCACCATAAATCCAAGGAAGGAATAGAGAAAGAGAGATATATTCTCTCTTATAGTTCCGGGAAAAAAAAAGACAAAAGCTCCCCGGTAGTGAAAGGCACGGAGGACTAAACTCCAACTTTGGAAGGGTGTATATATGTCGTAGGGGGGTAGATATCCACTCCTCGGAGAATGAACAGCTGTTGTCAGAGGAGGATGGGAAATACCATGTCCCCCCTACAACTGGAAAATCCCCATGCATGATGAGTTATAGAATGTATGATGAATTCAAATATTCCAATAGTTCCTCTTCGATTTTTATAGCATTGTAATATGTAGCGAAATTCAATTACCTCGTTTGATTTGGAAAATGTCATTTAGAAAAGGTCGACTCTCAAATTCAGCACAGGATTAGCAGCGCCTCAAGAGCATTCTGGAAAGTAATAGACAGGGTTTTCTACAATCATGACTTGAGCACAAAAACGAAGCTTGCCGTGTACCGAGCACTAATAATCCCCACCATATTATATATGGAGCGAAAACTGGGTGCCGTACCGCCGACACATTAACGCATTAAACAAGTTGCAACAGAGACAACTCTAAAGAATCAAATGGTTCCACCATGTCTGAAACGGTGTTCAAACGTATCGGTTCTTGAAAAATCTAGCTGCGAGAGTATTGAAGTCATGATTACAAAATCCCGCTTAAGATAGGCTGGTCACGTATCCAGAATGCAAGAAAACCGCATACCAAAATCTCTGCTTTACGGTGAGCTTGTAGACGGTAAAACGGCCTACACACGTAACGATTTATCGTACTGCATGCAGTACGATATCCATCGAAACTGCCGCATTAACGATAAATCGTAGCGTGTGTAGGGAAATTGGATGGTTTGCAGTATGCAGTCATCAAATCGTTTGCAGTACGGAGCTTCCGTAAAATATCGTATCAACGGGTCGTGTCTGGGGTGGGATTTGAACCCAAGCCTGAACGTGTGGAGTGTATTCCCTGCCGCAGCGCGCAGTTACGATACAATTTTTATTTATTTTTGGTTTAATCAATATTATGGATTTAAAAAATAAGATGTTCTGGGAAGACTTTATTGATTTATATAGAGAAAATAGATGCCTATGGGATGTGAAATCAAAAGATTATGCAAATAAAATGGAAAGAAATTCCAGTTATGAAATTTTGTTTAAAAAAAATAAGGAATTGTTCCTAGAAGCATAACAAGAAGCGATGAAAAAGAAAATAAACAATATAAGAACATCTAGCGGCAGTACAATGTGTTGTATCGTGTGTACAGAAAATGGCTGTACTGCAAGCCGTACGATTTTCTTTACGATCTGCAGTTCAACGCGCAGTACCATAAATCGTTACGTGTGTAGGCCTAAAGTCCCTAGATATATAAAGTACCGCAATTACCGCCATATTGGCGCCAAAACTAGCGGCAAATTTAAAAAGGAGGCCAACATTTCGCTGTTTCGGCTTTTTAATAGAGGTGGGCCAGTCTGCGATTTTTGTGGAGCTGCTACGCTCTGCGACTGCTCCAATAAAAGCACTGCGACAAGTAGCAGCGATTTTTCGGAGCAATTAACCTATAAATTAAAAATGTAGTTTTATAGGTTAATTGCTCCGAAAAATCGCACTCGGTGTTCGGCACCGTTCGTTGCATTTACTAAAAAAGTACAGGACTATAGGTGTGATTATGATAGGCAACATCATCGTCTAGTTTTTATTTATTTATATCGTATGATCGAAAAAACGGCGTAGCGATAGCTATGAAATGAAGATTGCTGGCATTTTATATGTAAAATTTATGGGGAATGTTATCGATTGTCATTTCCAAGCCAACTGGACGCCGTTTTTTATTTCGATCAGTAGTGGCGATTTTAACGTCTGTGCAATCGGGGTAAGTCACCGACGGGCCCCAAGCCTCCCGGGCCCTTGCGAACAAGATTCGAACTTTTCCGAACTACGGGCCCCTAGAGCTCTTAAAATCGCGGCTGTACGGTACTATACTGATGTCTTAGTTTGATAGATGTTGCTATATTTTTTTAGTCTATTCAGAAGAATTTGAGTGTTTCTAAGTACCAAGCACTTTGCTATAAATATCTTAAAGAGTCTGTTCATTTTCACAGAGTGGTGGCCCATGGTAAAAACTTAATGTTATATTCAATTCAAAGTCGAAACTGTCAAAAAAATCTTTATTAGTGACCGGTTTCGGCTATTTAGCCATCATCAGACCTTAAAAATAGATATAAATAATAAAACTTATATGAATGTATAAGATCAAATAAAAGATTTAGGATATACAACAAAACACAGATACAAAATTAACTAACAAATAAACATACTAACAAGTTAAAAATTACCTTTGTCAAAAACATCTGTTTGTGATTAATATATAATACATAAATATCTTATTTAGATTCATGAAAGAAAAAGCGAACGCTGCTACGTTTCCCGTTCCCAAACTCCCAACAGCTCCAGTACACAGAATATACTCAATATACTATGCTCCAGTCGACTGCGACCTGCGACGACTGTGACTGGAACAGTCTGACCGGGCGACGGGGCTAGGAGCATTTTCAGAATTTACACTATTGCCTGCTATTGCTCCTATTGCTACTCACGAGCGCAGATGTCCTAAACTTGTAAACTGCTCCGAAATGTCACTGCGATTTTCTTGGAACTGGAGCAGTCACATACTGCGACGTTTGTGGAGCTGTGACAAAGTAGCGGACTGCGATTTCACAACCCACCTCTACTTTTTAAGCAGCTGGTCGTGGCTGGTCGGTCCGGCGCCAATATGGCCGACCAACATTGACAGGCAAGCCGTAAAATAAAATATTTATTAATTGTAATAGAATTACGTTTATTATCTACAGTTTACCTTCATTTTAACGTAATATCAGGTGGTATATTAATATTCAATTTCATAAATTTAATTTTTTAGGCCTATATATGTTAAGAGGTTATAAACGAATGGTTTCCGTACAAGTGTTTTTCATTTGTATTAGCATTTATTTTATGTTACCTTTTAGCGCAAAGTACGCCAACAGAAGTAAGTTAATAGGTAAGAAGAAATAAAGTTGGAATAACATTTAGAATTTTAGTACTTAATTCAGTCGAAACAATTGGAAAAACTTTGTTTGTTGATGAGAACGGGATACCTATACCATAAGTAAACTTTCCCTATTATACCAGTTATGCTGTAGTTAGTTTTGACAAATAAGCATGATTTAACGAAAGTCTTTGGAACTATGAATAAGCTACAAACTTAAATTTGAAGGCCGGCTTTTATACGAGAAAATTTTGAACCATGGTTGAAACAAATAAATGTAATAATTAAATTGATATGATACATACCTGCTATTTTTGAAATATATTAATATATTGATAGAAAGATTGTTTCAATTAGTATTACTTCAGGTAGTTTCAGCATTTTAGGTATGTAATTGTGCACTTATTTTATAAATAACTTAGAAAGAAGCTTGAAACGCATAGGGGCTCTTTATGTGTGCTGTATAATTAAGGTTTGTATGTTATGGAGTCATTTTTATACAACAAATTTATTATTAGTTGAATAAAAGCAAGTTAATACCACATAATTCAATTAAAATATATTTTGCTCTGCAATTTAATGTTATATTTTTAAAACAACAAGTGTCATAGTCATAATGTTTAAGTATCATTATTATAAAAAAGTTATACTGCTATAAATTTAACATTGAAATAACTGTAATTATTGTTATACATAAATTAAGTAGGCATAATTTTACCTCGACAATATGTAAAACTTCAAACGAATCTTAACAATTTTATGCCATGTATAAAAATCAAATTTAAATCACACACTTTTATTTATAACTGACAGTATAAGACCAAATTTTTAAATATAACTTTACATGCTTACATTATATTCTTTACTTTTTATTAGTAATTACAATATGAACCAAAAAATATTAATTACTATCAATAAATACATAAAAACTAATCTATTTAAGTCCATGAAAATAACTATATAGTTAGCATATGCATAAACAACATTCTTGTTATTAGGATCAAATTTATTTGAGCTTTTTTTCATTGTTTTGGTTAATATCCCTGTTAGTCCTGACTGGTAAAACCACCTGAAGCGATGTCATCCAAATCTATATATGTATCATAACATAACTTATTCTTTTAAATAATTATCCTTCGTTTGGTCTGATGATAATATATTGTAGATTTATCTAAACTTCTTGCTGCAAAATGTTGAAAACTAAACTACACTAAACATTTTAGGGAATGATTACGTAGAGATTTCACTTACACTTAGCATCCTTTTTAAAAGATATGTATGGTAGTTTGCAAGTAAGGTCTTTGTCTTGTTCTAGATTAGATTTCTAGAGGTTGATTTCGGCCTGACCCACTGCGACCTTCTCAGATCTATTGTGGTCTTGTCTTGTTCTATAATGAAGTTTTATGTACCAGTAGGTTATACTACAAATAAGATTGTTAAAAATATTCACTGGAGCATAAATAAATTCAATCCACTACCTAACGTGTATTGAATATCGACGATGTTAGAAAACACATCAAATGGCGGCCTTTTCGTGTAATACACATTTCTTCACTAAAGATATCGACGCCTATACATTACTAACTAATAAATTTGTAGCATTTTAGTGGCTTTATAATTATTTTAAAATATATGGATAAATATTTTTATCCTGAAATTGACAGCTTCTCAACATTTGACATGACAAATTCAGTCAAATGTGACATTTAAACAGTCCTACCACTACAGTTTTTCCAGAAATACCCCAAAAATCCGCCATTTTGGCGCCAATAACATTGAACAAACCAATTGCGGTACTTTATATATCTAGGGACTTTATGTAGGCCGTTTGAGAGGAAACCGGGTGAACAAAACTCAAAACGGTGGATGACACTTCTTATGGGAGAACTGGCAATGGTTGAAAACTTGACTACAAGCGATTTTCTAGGAATCTTCCTTACCGATAAATTATTGACAAGAGTGACAGATAAAACCTTGACGTTTTCTCAGTATTACAGTTCATCGCTTTTTCTTTCTAAAGTGTGCGTTGAAAGGAGACAAAAACAATTTTTGGTGACCCATAATTCGTTATTCGAACACCACTTTTCTCCTTGTCGGCAGCGTTGCCAATCTTTGTGGAATTCCACAAAATGTGTGGAATTCGTAATAATGTTGTGGAACGTTTGTGGAATAGAATAAATGTGGAATTTTGTGGAATTTTCGGAATTATTCCTTTTTTTCTTCCTTATTTAGCTAATAGTAAAAAAAACATTATAGGACTCATCATAATTTTACAGATTTCTGTAAAAAGAGCGTCGCCGTCGAGGTCAGCAGCTAGGTTCGGTATTTAGATCTGCAAGCAATCCGACGAAATTTTCGACATATCACATATCACACGTCACTATATAATGTAAAATCCCTTTAAGATCACGTGGTTCATATAAAAAAAATGTCGGATTGGTCGCAGACCTAAAGACCGAACCTGGCTAGTGATTGTGGAATTTTGTGGAATTTGGGTATGTTCGCCGTGGAATATAATTTTGGACCATTGGCAACGCTGCTTGTCGGGTCGTTGACGTTGACTTGTCGCCATTTCATTTCTTTTGTTTACAAGCTGCAGTTTGCTTTGCAAATTTAATACATAAATTATTTAGGCAAATATAGGTTTTTGATAAAACTTCTCGAACTAACGTGTAGGTAAGTGTTGATAAATAATTTTTTTTCATCTTAACATGCTCATTGTCATTCTCCTGATTTAGGTGACAGAAAAGGATCATCAAATCAAATTGAATTTTATATTTTTTCATCCCAGGACCGATAGTAAAATATATATTTTATGCATACCTTCCTAAATATCAACGAGATGAGCCATCGGAAGAAAGGGACCATAGTACAAAACAGAAAGGTGACCTTTTTTCTTTCCACTTAGGATATTGAAATTATATACTGTCGGCACTCGAGAAATATAGATAAACAAAGAACAACAGATATAAATAAGTATCCCAGAGGAAAAGAGAGGCAATACCTGTACTCTCTAGGATATTGAAATTATATAGTGTAGTCGTGTTCGGCACTCTGAGAAATATACATAAACAAAGAACAACAGATATAAACTATCCCAGAGGAAAAGAGAGGCAATACCTGTACTCTCTCTGATATTTGTGAAAGTTACGGCAAAGTATTGTTGAAAATGTCATCTTTTTGATCGACCTGAAAACTTCGAGCAAAAAGATGACACTTTCAACAATACCCTGACAGATATCAGAGACGATACAGGTTTTTCCTCTCGTTTCCCCTGGAATACTTTTAATTTATTATTCTTTGTTTATCTAGATTTCGCAGAGCACTATGAACGAACTTCGTAGCTTGTATGTTTGAAATAATCGTCCAGTTGACTTAAAAATGATGATCGATGACATTTCCCATATAATTTTACTTTCAAAATTATGATATATATCTTCATTTCTAAGCCATCTATGACGCCATTTTTTTCAGTTTTGTTATAATTAATTTTGTCTCTTGATCTACTTGTAACATTATTCTTTTAATTTTATTAATTTATTGTGGTGAAAATAATTTCTGCTGTATATTTGATATTGATATTAAACATATTTTTAAAAAATGGTGTATTTTTTGTGTTTTTATGTATGTCATAATTAAAAATAAATGAAGAATTAAATTTTTTTATTTTTTTAAACTTCCCGCCATGCTTGACAATCTAGTCCGTAGTTCCTACAAGCGAAATTGGGGGCGCTAGTAGCAGTAGACTTGTCAACAGTGTCAAATTTAAACGTCAATTTCACTTTCCAATATTTAGCAAGGCGCTCGCACTTCTTCTTGTGTATGTGTTTTGTGACTGAAAAGGTACAAGGATCCACGAAAACTTAAAGGTGATTAGCATGCAGAATGGGTGGGAACAAGCAGCGCACAATAAAACGCAATCGGGAAGAATTGTAAACTCAATTAACAGCGACAACCAAAAAGTAAAGAGACAATGAAGCAATGAGATTTTTGAATGTCCGGAGTGTGGTAGAGAGATAATATCACGTTATTGGTTTTTTTTTGTTACAGAAAACCTCATGAACGAAAACGCCTTCGTAACCATTAAATTTTCTGATGCATGTCAAATACTCGTCAGCGAGTAATGGCAGTAGAATCAGTAGTGTATGATGATGTATAACTCCCCCTTCCACTCACTCTACAATACCACAACAATACTTTATATTTTTTGTAAATATTTCTCGGTTGTAAAAAAATTGTAAAGTTAAAAATAGAGCTAGCAATTGCGGAAATAGAAAGTTGCAGAACGCAAGAGATACCGGCAATTCCCACGGGAAATTATAGGAATTTATCTATAGAGAATGTGTCCCTAATTCACTTTAGCAAAGTCTATGGAGTTCCTTGTCTTTACATTGTATTCTCTGCTTTTATGAATTAGATATACCTAAAAAATAATACTTTTTATTGTATCTGTAGGTCTTAATATTTAGTGCGATAAATTAAAGTGCCTGGAAAAGTCGGATATATTATTTTGTCAAGCATGCGCTTTGCAACTCTCTGTGATTTCCACGTGGTCGGAAAACTTGCGTTTTCAATGCCCACCTGTCTGCCGGTTCGTGTTTACAGTCTACTGCTGACAGTTTTCACGTCGGTATCGGGTTTTCCGGGTTGCGGATTTTCCAGAAACGTTCCGTCGCGACGGTGATTTTTGGAACAAAAATATCGGGAAAATTAAAAAAAAATCGTTTAAATAATATGTGCGTCAATGGAGTTTTAAGAAATTATTCAAACAGGGTTTAAAAATAGTTTTAAAATCATCTTTCATAAAAATAACTAATATCTATAACATGTAATCAAGATTTCTCTTATTATATCTTTATTAATAAAACTACTAAAAAATAAAGTAAGATTACTGTAAATTTGTAGTAAAAAAAGTTATAGATCTAACTAATCTCACCATATATTTGCCGCAATAGTAATTAGGTTTATATTTTTTGTTTTAACAATAATTTTTTGAATAATACTTTTAAAGTTGTTATTTTCAAAATGTAAAATTATTGACGTCAATTGAAAATATATAACATAACATATTAATTTATAAATATAGTTTGTTCTCAACTTTAAAATTATAAGGGAGGGCAGTTACTGAATATAAACTTAAATTTCATATATACAGGGTGAGTCTTAAATAAGTGCAAATATTTTTAGGGGTAGTAGGTATATTTCGACATCAGAAACACGCCTATAAGTTTTTCCCCAAAAATTCCCACAATTAATAATTTTTTGAAAGAAAAATTAGAAGTTAAAAATCATAATATATTCATAATATGGCAACATAGGTAGTAGATTAAATTTACAAGAAAGAAAACCCAGAAAAGATACAGTGGTTTTTAATATTTAATCAAAAAATCGTTTTTTTCTCTTAAATTTTCAAAGTAAAATAACTTGGTAATTTTGAAGTTATTTGAAAAACGGTAAAGAAAATATGTTTCTTTTATCGAGATCTACCAGCCTTAAAATATTTACACTTATTTAAGACACACCTTGTAGAGGTAATCAGTATAATCTGCATTCTGTTCAAATAGTTCTTTTAATCTGAATTTAATTTGTTTTTAATGTTTAAAACAAAATTTTGGAACAACTCGTGTTATTAAAGCTAAACAAAGTTTTTTAATTGAGGAAGTTAGTAACTAAAAACAATTGCGAGTTCAGTGGTAGTGTCGTGCGCTCTATATACATTTAGTTGGATACAATCCGGACAAAAACGGTGAGTTGTTGAAAAAGCAGAAACTTTATGAAAACTTTAGTTATTCTTAAAGAATACATGATGAATTAAAACAGTACTATTTTTTGGGAATAAATAAATGTATTGAAAGATTATGTACAGGGTGGGTCACATTCGACGCTTTTAAATGGAAACACCCTTTTCTATAGGAGATAGACAAAAACTAATATCGGTGTCTGGAGCTCAATTTTTGTCAAAAACATGATGGTGAAAACCACATATCGATATCTGTTACCGTTTCGGAGTTACGGGGTGTTTTTCAAAAATATGCATTTTTAACAAATCTCTGTAACTTTTTTGCTATGGAAAATTTTGTATTTTTATGAAAACATTTCCAAAGCACCTTTTTACGTGGATTTTAATGGTTTAAGTTTAATTTTTTTAAAATTAATAATTTAAGAATTATCAACATAAAATTTGGTTTTTTATATGGGACACCCTGTATATTTTTAATTTATTGAAAATAATTTAAAATTACCTTTCCAAAAATATAACACACTTTATATTTTGCTCGATTCCTCTTCGAGATATAGAGTATATAAAAATTCGCCTGCTTTAAATAAGTAGGCTTTGAACGGCACCGGCTGTAATGCAAAAAAATTCTAGATGTGAGCATCAATTAAAACAAAAATAATATTTGCTATGAGAAATGCAGAATTTTATAACAATTTAAAATAAATTTAACCAACATCAACACATTTAAACTATATCTATTAACAATAAAAATTAGTAGCAAACCAAGACATCAGATTTTGCTACAGGTGTTCGACATATCGACCCTCTTCTGTTATGCACAGACGGGACAGTTTTTGAAAATTTCTCGCGGAATTCATTAACTCAGTAGGGGTGAAAGATACCCTCTCATAACTGCTAAGTATTTTTAATTCTTGTGTCGATTATACGGAAGAATAAGGA